GCGCGCATTGTTACTTAATGTATCGAGTTGCTTGAATTGCACTGCATCATTTATCAATAACAGCTCATCTGCATTTTATTTGATATGCAGTCACTCTGATCCCCTCTGGCAACCATAATCCTTAGCGTTAAAATAATAGAATGTTTTGTTGTGACGTAATTATGCAATAGGGCAATTATTCACAGGGTCAGCGATGCTAATACCCAGGGTGCCACGGGGGGGTTACTCGATGTAGATGCTAGTATCGTATCTTGGGTCTTATTATATGTCTCCAATTGGCTTTAATTAACTGACACTAACAACCTTACAAGGCGTGTATCCAGTTTTAACGGTACCGTTGTTTAATGGGTTGTTTATTTAGCTGGGCGAGTGTTTGAGGTTGCTGGGACTAAAGTTAAACTAATATATTGTCCGAGAAGCTGTGTAAACCTTGTTGATGATGGTTTGAGGGGCCAAAACGTAATTGTGAGTTTGTATTAAATTTGTAGAGCACTCTGAGCTAAGCAACAACTCACTTACTTGATATCTTGACAAGCGTCATTCTGACTAGTATAGTTATAGTTGTGATGTAATCTTAAAAGCTAAAWATATATGATAAAATAACGATCGCTTAACCTATACACGTGGTGGGCAATTAACTAGGGTGAATATAAGTTTGTACAGGTTTTGAGCGATTATCATAAAAATAGTTCGTGCACTAATGAATGTTTGAGCCGGGTAAACATAAGCTATTATTAAGATAATATCATAGACGTTCTGAGGAAACTAGGTGAAGTTAAGGTAGCTAAAAGAGAGTGTAACAGTTATGTGACTAATTAATGTCGCATAACAGAACTGAACTCTCAAAAAGTCCCAATTCTACCTCTTTACCAAGAGAACTAGAGGTTCTGAGTTTGACCACTTAGTTGAGTTTGATGTGCAAGCTCAATCATTGTCTGGCTAATTGACAGGAGGAGCCGACAGGGTCTGTTCGGAGTTCCATATCTGGGATAGGGTATCATTTTTTGCCCATTTGTCTGGGTTAGGGTAGTAGTTTCGTCTGCGATAGGGTTTTGAGAATCGTGTGGTACACCCCCACCCAAGTTCGGGAGGTAGTACCCCCCCTCCCCACCCGGGTTCTTTCGCCGAGTTTTTTGGAGGGTTGAGAAACGATGTACACGGCCTATCCTTGCCTGGAGAGTTGTTTTCCCTAGATTTCTCGCTGGCAACCAGTTGTGACTTACAGCTGGCTGGAACATAAAAACACATATATTTCTCTAGGAACCCGTCGGCTCCTCCTAAATTGATCAAGTTTGTTCTGTAAAATGTAAMATTGTTTCATGGTTGTCATATGCGCCATGCACTAGCCGTTACATAATACAACAACTGGAAGACACACTTTGGCTTGATATGTATTATTTGTCTTTCACGGATTGATGCGGTAACCTGATAGTGGCTTACTCACGAACTCTATTTTACTCACAAGATGACGGAGACTAACTTCATTATTATTACGGGTCATACCTATACGTATTCGAAAATTTCCGATAACTTGTGGAAACTGAATTGAACGCCTGTAAATGTTTCGGCATGGTAACGAAACAGGGAAAATTCTRAYCGTGTGAGTGCATAAGCTTAACAAAATACTAAATGATGCACCCAATATTCTTTTATAGCTATCACAACAACAGCTATCGGMATCCTCCTTGCACTGGTCATCTTAGTTGGTGCCTTGGCSTGTGGAGTATGCCTTGCTCACTGCATCAAACCCAACATTCGGCGACGCCGAAGAGAACCATCAGTAATACAAACACCGGACATATTGGACGGTCCCAAGCTGCCTCATTTACCTAATTACTACGACAATGAAGGAGCAATACCTCCCCCTTATTTGGAGACCATTGGGACTGATGGGAACACTGTTAACCCCCCTAGCTATGAATGTCCGCCRCCATATTCTATTCTTGATACGTCTGGTGAATTAGAGACAGCAGGAGAAACAAGTGCAAATGATCGTGTCAATCAAACGACATGATTCCAAGGATTTTTTTATTTCATTCGACGAGCTGCCTGTGGTTGCTCTGATTATAAATTGRACAAATAATGAACGTGATAGAGTGCACAAGTGACAACAGTAAAATCATGACAATTTGGACAATTTTGTACAATTTTTAGTAGCAGTTACATAGTTTATAGTGTTCATGAAGAACTATACTGATTGAGGCATGTTCCACTAAAAGTTGCAGATTTCGTGCAAATTTGTGCTATATCAATTTTGGTACAGTTCCATGTATAAACACGTTCGACTGAATTGTGCGAATTGTATATATTCGTCTAATCGATCATATTTTACGGTCTCAAAGTGGGGTCACTAATCTGTGAAACAAAACTTGACTCAAGTATGATTGTCAAATACGGAAACAAAGGAAAACAATGGAATTAGAGCGTACTAAGAGCATTCTATAGAGTGTGCTTCAAGTAAAAACGTGAAACACTAATTATTAAATCGTGCAAATAGTGCTAGCTGAACAAATTAAAAGAATTAGTTTAAAGTGTGATAGTCGGTAAATTGACATGAAAGAAAGTAATGCAGTTAGAGCGTAGTACTAAGTTGTAGTGTAATATTTATTTGTATGAAAAACTTAATTAATGAATCCAAAAGTCGTCTACTGCGACTTCACCATTTTTATATTATTCAATCTTTGCCCATAGAATCAACCCAATCCGGTCCAATCGAAAAAAAAACGGTTTATATATTGTCGTTAATGCCCTCGACGGATAGAGAAATGTTAAGAAACTCAGAGAACAGTGAAAAACTCGTTGGCTATCATTGGTTATTTTGTTGTTGTTCTATTTTTATTATTTTTTATAATAAAGAAATAATGCGTTAAGCCATAATTCACAAATGTTCTAAATAAAACACTCACAATAAAAACGAATTTACATTAAATGGTTTTGTCGTTGCTTTCTCAATAGAGATCATGATGATTTATGTAGCGCAAAATAATTAACTTATATAATAGCTTTACAKTTTCTTGGACTGATAGATTGCATTTTATCTTCAAACTGATTTTTAATAAAAACGTTATCGGGTTCGATGAAGATTTAGAAACCTGCTTATCTATTAGATTATTGGGTAAAAATAAAAACGTCTGGTCGCAAAAAGCTGATCATCGAAGATTACACCGAAGCGGGTTTAATAGATCTTTATACTTATTCTTATTATTTATATTTGCCATCATAGGAAAATTTAATTCGTTATTTAGAAGCGCTGTTATGTCCATTCCCGTCGTTCAGCTTTAATGATGACACATTTTGGAGCCCGATTACATTTTTGAATTATGTATACTTGTCTAGTATATTAAACAGTGATACATGTCTGGTGAAGTTGAATAGGAAAGATAGGGAAGAGCAGATATTCCATCTGTAGGGATGGTTTTCAAACTATTCTTAAAAATCCGTGAAGTCACGTAGCGCTGAAAGACGCTGAAAGAGATTCTCTATTGATCACCTAGCTTTTAGAATTTATAATCACGTCGGACAAGGAAAAAATTAACAACACAGTTCACCTTAATTAGTACATGACATAATATTTTCGCGAATTTGTTGAAAAGACAAAAACCTTATTAATCAATTTTATAAATGTGTAAAAATAATAAGATGTCATTGGTAGATGATGAGAGGATCAAATCTCAACTCAAACGTGCAGAGTAATCAGACACTTCAGAAGTGACGTCATGAACGTGCAATAATTCCCGTTTGGAGAAGAAACAACCACTTTATCCATTTTTATCGGACACATTTAAAAGAGAAGAGTAAAGCAGTTAAGGAGCTTATCTCGACGCATGATTTTTACCATGGAAAAACTTGTGTTGCTCGTTGTTTCACTGCAGATAATTGCTGGAACACTTGCAAGTGGCAATCAATGCTGTAGCAAGCCTGAGGTAAGGATAAGTGCCAAATTTCATGAAAAAAATGTATTTTTTTGTTTCTTTATTGAGTGATTTRGAGTTTTAGGTGATGCGTCACAGCATTGAATAGTAAATCAATAAGTAAAAAATATTTTTTAATTTTAGAAATTGAGACCTAAATAAAATGGGGTCCTTCATTATAACTAAATTGATGCGATATTTTGTAATTAACTTTTATTTTCTTAATTGGTTATASTATAATATCTGACAGTTTTCCTGCGAAAATCGAAGCTAATAAGTGTTTATTTAAAACACTCCATATAGTCTAGTGAATTCTAGTAGAAATTAAAATGAGCTAGAATGATTAATTAAAAGCTTAAAGTATCATGCATTCATGCGTTAGAGTTTGAAACTGGCTATAAAAAAATTTTTCATTTCTTTGGCTTTTTGATGTTGGAATGTAATCTTTCTTTTCTTGAACTTCCATCTTTGGATTTTAGAATCGGTTGTCTGTAGAATCTTCAAATAGAACTGAATTGTCCCCAAAGTTTTTCAAGGCCATTTGAATTTGTAATTATGTTTCGGATTTGAAAGGAACTAAATGTCAATCAAATACATTTTCACCAATTCGTCATTTCAATCATGCATAAGAGAGCTCAAGGGCGGATCCAGCATTTTANGACATATTTTATACTAAGTTATTGAGCCTGGGTTACCTGTGCTAGGGGCCAGTACGTCTTCCATCTCTCGCCCCCATTCTCCCTCTTTTGACTCCCCAAAAAAAAGACAGGAAACCCGTTATTCTTAGTGACTGATGCCTGCGGTGGAGGCTAAGTATCAATACATTAATACATAGCTACAGTTTTTCAAGCATGTAATTACCGATGTGGTCCTGGTTAGATTCCCGCTTTGGGACTATATGTCGACTATATGTGATTCGAGTTGGTGGGCCTGGTTTTGTCTTTCCTTGCTCGGGAGGGTTTTTCTTTAGGTACGCTGGTTTTCCTCTCCATCAGTCAAAAACTAGCTGTGAGGAGTAATGTGTGCTAAAACATTTAAAGTAGTGTGGTCGTGAGTGTGAGAGACTTGGCGACGACTCCCATCGTAAACTGACATGTATATTTTTGTTTTTTAATCAAATCAAATGCGTCCCTTTACTTTTTTAATCATTTACATTCATTGACCAAGCGCCACAAATCTAATTTCATGGTTCGGCTTGTGTTGCAGGGACAGTGCTGCAATAACTGGCAGTTTATATACGAGGTGGATTCAAGTGGTCGTCATGTCTCCGGTAATAAGTACGCATTGTTGGCTGCTATTCTTGCTGGGTCACGTGTCCGTGTGTCACTAGGAGACTACTACGCAGARGCAGATGGTGTTTATGTGCACGGAGACCACGCCCATGCTGAGTTAATACAGCACGTAAGCAAAGCAAATTGGAAACACTTTCAGAATGATGCGTACTGGTGGTGGACGATTATATCAACGACTGGGAATATGTACAACATCAGGTAGGTAAATAGTCACCTGAACCACAACTAACAATAGATTTTGAACTTTTAAATGACTTATTCGAGCAAACATACACATTTAATACTTTCAAATTAAAAATTATTAGCATGATTGAATTTTGATGACAATTAATATGCTGATTATGACCTCAATGGAGCTTTGTTGTTCTGTGAGATTTCCCAAAATTAACTATTAAACWAACTTGAAATGACAGTAGTGTAAGTTTATCTAACTTCATGTATTTCTACAGTGAAATCTGTAGGTCTCGCATTCTCAAACCTCWCTGGCTCAATCACCAATAGTTACTGAATAGTCAGCCTAGAAGAACCTTTGAGGGTAAAGCAAATATTCTCGTCAATGATTCACGCAAGTGCCACTCGGCCTTCTACTTGCATAGAGTGACCGATTCTGGCCTCATTGGCCTCTCTGCCCGGGCCATAACTCGAAATCAGAGGGTAGTATAAAAGGCAACCTTATTTCAGTTATTTATTWGTTAAATCTCGAATTTTTCAGGTACAACGTCGGATCTCACCAGTCACGAGGCGACACGACAACCAAACAAGCAGCAAAGTGGTTCATTAAAACAGCCTACTACCAAAACTACCCAGTCTACTCGAACAATAAAGCAGGCCAAGCCACCTCTGGAAACCTGCAGGACTTGAAGAGTGCTGTCCAATCAGGCAAAGAGATTCGCTTGGTGACAAGCAAATCCTACAATTTTCGTCTTCAAAATATAGCATTCGATTCAGCTAAAGTGGCTGGTCAATTTCTTGATCACGTGAGCAAAACGACATCAGGTGTTGACATTAAATACCAAAGTAACGCCTACTGGTGGTTCACGATGATTAGCACCAGTGGAAAGAGAGATATGTCACGGTGGTCTGTTGGTAGTCACGTTGATAGAGGTCATACCAGTGATACAGTTGATACTGAWTGGTTCAAAGACGACTGCTGGGAGCTTGTGTACTCTCACGACAAAACCGGTCGAGCCACCAAGGGAACCCTCAGTGATTTGATCCTGGCCGTACAGTCAGGAAAGCGTATTCGCTTCCAGTTCCCAAGCAGTGCCTACTACACTGCCGAAGCAGACAACTTATCCATTCGAAAGGGTCACGTGACGGCCCAGGCTTTAAAGCATGTCAGCAAAGCTTCGTTGGAGAAATTCCAGGACAACGCGTATTGGTATTGGCTGATGGTGTCCAGCACTGGTACTRTGAGGGAAACAAGGTACAACGTRGGATCACATGTCAGCAGAGGAGAATCCAAGAGCAAACGTCCAATCACATGGTTCGCTGAAAAACGTGACTGGAAATTAGCCTTCATTCACGACAAGAATGGCGGAGCGAGGTATGGATCAAAGTCTACCGTCATCAATGCTGTGAGGAAAGGGGCCGCGGTACGAATTGTCAATGACGATGGTGCCTACGCATTTCCAGCTCAAAATCTGGCCATTCACGGTGGTGACGTTGCAGCCCAAACCGTGAACCATGTCAGCATGATGTCAGCATCTGACAGTGCCTACGAAGTGTCCATCCAACCCAATGCCTATTGGTGGTTCACTATTGTAACAACTCAAGGCGAGAGAGATATGTCACGTTGGACGGTTGGTAGTCACCAGAGTAGAGGGCGCAGTCAAGACCGTGTTGCAATGAGGTGGTTTATTCAACAATAAACACTGAAARAAGCTCATGGCACGTGAAGTCATAGTGCAACTAAATCAATGTTAGACATAAATAGTATTTCATCATTTGAAACAAGAGAATAATTTCTTGTGATAATGTGTAGGTTTATAGTTGGAAAAGATTTCAACACTTAAAAATAAAACAATAAATGCACGAATGCAGAATGAATTTATTTATCTGTTTCTTTATATATCTATCATTGAACTCACTCAATATATTTTTGACGATTTTCAGCGTATTGATTGTACAATTATGCTTCCCTGAAAAGGATACCTGTTTTGGAGACTGGTACCAAAACAACACAAAAATTAAACGTCGTTTGCGTACAAAAGAACAAGACAAAGCCAATTTTAATCAATGTGCATATATTAGCATCTATAAACACATTAAACATGGCGAACAAAGCAWTGTCGCCATTCACTAGATACTGGACTTTAAACGTTTGCTGTACTTGTTCGAACGGTTAGTGGTGCTGTATTCGCTTCAAAGAATTTTAATGTTTTGCATTTCGGGGAAGAAGTCAAGAATAAGCGGCCCAGACAAAAATGTTTGGCAACATTTGTCATTTACACAGACTCTCCATCTGAACAAGTAAACAAAATGAGACGGCATTCAAGATGTCTTCTGTCAGAGTATACCTATTATGTTACTTTAGGTAAGTGTGTGTGTTTTTGAGTTCTTTGGCTATGTAATTCTGCCTCCAATTTGTACTGTGAAGAGTATGTTATTAGAAATAATCAAATCTCAGATGCCAAAAAGCAATAACATGCAGGCACAAATAGCACACAAAGACAGGTTTTTCGTCTTTAAAAACAGACAGTTAGAACCCGTTAGTTCGCGGCTCATAGGTCTTTCGACTTGTTGTTTATTTGTTCAAGCTATATTCGCTCTAAAACTGTACAGCGATATGAATTGCTAGGCCTACACTAAAGTTACAACAAGTCATCCATGACATATTTGTCATTTTCGACATCGTCAAAATTAAATTAMAATAAAAAAACACTYKTAAGCTCCATAGTAACAGAAAATTCATTCTTCTCTCTCGTTTTATTCATAATCTTATGATTTAAACAGTACAGTTTCACGGATGCTTGTGTCGGCAGTGCTCCCAGGCCTCATCCTATATGGTCTGTATTTAGTAAATAAAACAATTTTTATGGCAKCATGTCGAAGCATGAAAGAGCAACTGCCTTGTTTTCATTTCAATGCAGCACACAATCTTTAACAGACTGAGCCAGCTTTTGATTCGACTATAAAGGCCTATAAATACAGTCGAAGTATTCGATTTCGATTCAGAATCTCTTGAAAAAGAAACTTCAGAAAAAGTTCTGAAACTCTGTAAACATGAACCGTTTCATAGTAATTGAAGAAGGGAACTTTTTGTCTTTGGTCCAGCTCCATGGAACTCTATACCAGCCTGACGAGCGAGCACGTAAGCAACCACGTAACCGAGATACGGCGTCCTAGTATAGGTTCCTATTGATGCAGTCACCAAATCCCACATGTGCACAGGTCTATGCAAGTTACTTTAATCCTTCCCTGACTTCTGAAAACATAAGTTATAATCTTAAGTCCTGTCCACACGASTTCAGAGATTTGTGTTTCAACAATTATTATTTTCTGTTTTGGATATGAAAATATTCCATTCACACGTAGCGTTTACAAATGTGTACGACGGCCCAAAGTTTCGCTGTAGAGTTATTTTATATACGTGACACGCGTGAACAGTAACTCCCTGACTGTATCCAAGCATAAATTTGCGAATATAAAATCTCTGGACTCGTGTAGATGAGGGCTTGTTTCGAGCTCATCTCGCCTAATAGATTCAACATCTTTAATATTGTTAATATAGCTGGAGTGCAAATGCAAATGATTTGTTATGACGGCTATTGCAACCTCGTCCCCAGGGCCATCTCGGCCGACTCCTTTTCAAGATGGCGGTCGTCGGGTAGATGACCCTGGCGTTGGCTGGAATCACGTGATCAAAACCTCCAAGATTTTTGGAGGTTTTGATCACGTGGCTTATCTATTCAAAATGGCGCTCGAAACGTGAACTCAACGGTTTCACAAACTGGGATAGCTGTGGTGGGTCGGTATTTGCTTCATGTTTTGATGATTTATTTGAAAAATGTCCTTCCGTCCTGCCGTCATCGGCAGTGTTGACCCCTAGACCGCCTACGGGAGTAGATCCAGTTCATTCTAGAATTCTTGAGGGATCCGCTCACTGCAGAAATCGGCGAGTAGAAGACTTCTATAACATCGAATGCTATCGCTAAATATATCCGTCAAGTTAAATTTCTTACACGAGTAGTTGGCATCTCAAAACCACGCATTGGACAAGAGAGACATAAGAGGACAACTGACAAGAATTCCAAAGAATATCGTTGCTTTAAAATCGACAAAACGTACCTTAATTAAATTTCGGGAATATTTGAATAAAAACAATGAACGCATCGTAACGGTTAATAAATCAATAACCGATCAAAGACCTAACGGTTATTATCCGGACATACCGACAGTGTCGAACACATCCCGACCTATAGACGAACATAAACAGCCAATAATGAGTGATATAAGAAAAGGCATTTTGAATAGCCAATCAGAAAGCGGCTTAGTTGAGCCAACGCCAGGGTCATCTCCCCGACGACCGCCATCTTGAAAAGGAGTCGGCCGAGATGGCCCTGGGGACGAGGTTGCGGCTATTGAAGCTTAGAATACTTTTGGTGCCAACTGAGCATGACCAGAAATAGACCTCGTCTCTAGGCACTTTTCCCTACGTATGGGGGAATAGGGCCTAGGGACGAGTCTGCAGCATCGCAAAATTGGTTTGTGCTCTTTGGCCGCGTATTCCAAGGTGAAGTCGATGACTATAATCAATAAATTCGTGTTTTTTTAGTTGCTATTTTTGTGACCATGATGTCCTCTACTGCTGAAAGCGCTGTCCAGGAAAAATGTTAGTATTACCATTGTATATCAACTTGTATTCGCAAAAATTGATGTTGTAAATGCAATTTAGGAAACTCAAACGAAATGATAGCCGATGTCTCATCGCAAACCATAAGCGTTGGTTTATACATAAAAAAGAGTGTTAAAAATATTGAGCATTAGTGAGTCGGTAATGGTCAGGCGTTGGGACTGCGGAGATCCTTGAACACGCACCTAACGCCAAGCTCATCTTTACTGGTGATGAGTTTAATATTCATTATATAATAGTGAGTTTTTTACTGGTATTTCAATCATTACTAACCAGTAATTCTGGACTACTTTTTTTTTACAGTATCAGTATTGACTGGAAAGTACTCTGGGTGGTTTTCCAGTCCTGGTTACCCACATCCATACCCTGYCAACGTTTCTTACACCTGGATTTTTCCCAAATACGATCACGATGTAGTTTTGGTAAAGTTCGTCGATATGGACCTCTATCTCTGTTATGTTGTGGATCTTAATGAAAATTGTTACAAGTACGATCAYGTTCATGTTGAGGGTCATCGTCCCTTCTGTAATTGGCGCATGCCTAAAGATGTAATAACACTGTCAGAAAGGACAGTTATCAAATTTCGGACTTTTCCTTCCCGAGATGCCTGTCGTGGGAAAGGGTTCAATGCCACGTTTAAAGTTGTTTCAGCAAAAATACACGGGAAGACGACGCTAAAACCGATGAATGCAACAACTATTGATACAACTGAAGGTATATACATAGTATATGAGGAATCAAAGTATTCGCACCTCTCTTAAGCCCTTGTACCCTTTAAGCGCGATCATCATCATGATCTTCATCAGACCTCATCACTCTGCTTGCTAGAGTGTGCATGTTCCTTCTCAAAACTTTGAATAATTTTCCATCATTGTGCCTACTTGGGTTCATTGTCGACTTCCCTGAAGAAAATTCGGGTTCTACCATCATGCATCATTGTGTCTTCTTGGGGTAACTATCCTCTGTGCACAACAACCTCTTGTTATCTTCACCCCTCCCGGTAGAAAATATCGGGTCCCATCCTTGATAGGTACATGTCAGTACTACGGTTATGCACACCAGCCTGAAACCCCCTATATATTAAGAACATAGTATATTATAGAGTATGTTTGCATGATCAGCAGAGTACCTTAGTTCCATTTSATCGGCTTTTTTAGTGAATGTATTCATTTCCTTTTTTGCCTCCAGGAGGACAAGCAAATGAAAACAGCACGAGAACTGTTGTCATTATAATTGTAGCAGTGCTGATGACTTTTTCAGTTATGTTTTTAATACTATGTGTCTGGTGTTGGAAACGTAAAAAAAGACAGCGTTTTGAAAGAAGGGAGGGAGACAGAACAAGATCTTACAGTTCGCTTCCAGCTCAAGAAAGAGATCAGACTTCAGATCCACAAATACATAGAGATAACGAAGTTTCATACCACTCAGGGCTTATACCGATTGAAAGCGTCCCCAGGAGGCAAGGAGGCCTTATACCGCTTGAAGACCTAGGCGTCCCCAGGGGGCAAGGCCCCCCTCCTACTTATGAATCTGTGTTTAATGCGGAAAACACATCTCAAAGAGAAAATGATGTTAATAGAGAAGCGGAATTTGAAAATCCGCCATCTTACGAAACAGCGTTAAGGGAGAGACATACTCAAAGGGAAAGAAGGAGTGCACCTAGATGGACCAACAATGCATCAAGAGGTCCAACCAGAAGAGGACAAAGAAATGTGCGAGAGACAGCTGAACAATCGTTATCAAGGGATAATTCACACACATCACGTGACGATGAAACTGGTGAGTCTGCCAATCAAAGGCAGGCTGATTCTAGTTGTCAAACAATKAATACAAGCAATCAAAGCGACCCCGTGGAAAATTCTCTTGAATCTCCAACAGACTCTTCTGAAACAGAAAACCCGAATATTGTTGTTTCTGAGCCGTCAGAGGCTTCTTGCCCAGATGACTCCAGAAGAGAAGTGTTTGTCTAGCTTCAGCCATTCCTCATATGTTTCAAGGAATACTGGGCTTTAACTTTTAAGTCATTCTCTATTGCCATTGTGAAAGGTATATACCAGTGTTTTTTCATCACAATAAGGCGGTGTTTGTCGCTTCCAGTACATAATGCACAGCGACGCAACAAGACACGATGGAGTTGTAGTCCTCGCACTTGTTTATATTAAAACACTATTAAAACACTCCTCCGAATCCGTTTGCAAAATTAACATTAGTTGATTCGTTTCTACTGCGAATACATTTGTGCGGATTTCTGTTTCGGTCGTGTGGCGTTCTCAGGGCGCAAGGCCTGCCTTCTACTTATAACAAAATACACAAATGCAAAGTCGACAAAGAAACACAACCTCCACAGGGGCGGATCCAGGATTTTCCTCAGGGCGGGATGCGAACCACTCAGTAGGGGCTGAACCCCACAAAAAATCATTACCAGACCTTACCATGAAGATACACAATAAGGAAAGGGGGGGGATTGCGCGCCCCCTGCACCCACCAGCTGGATCCGCCCCTTCTCCAAGTGGTCATACATGTATATTYAAAGAGTACAATGAGAATAAAGATTGGAATTTGGCAATAATGTAAATATATTGAGAAACCAAAGGATTGAAATTTCTTAGATATTTCCAAATAATGTAATTTTTATGAAGCACACTTCTGCAAATAAATTGATAAATCTAGATAGTCTAATATTCGTTTTAATGATATGTTTGAAAAARCATGCACAGACTAAAGTAATGCTATCTAAAAACGCAATGCTTTGRAGGCGTTTTCCATTTGTTACTAGTCAGACCAAAATAGAATTCAAGTGATTGTGAATCGGATTTTCTCAGTCAGAATARCCATATCCACTAGACTAAAGGAAAACATGGAAATCACTTCGTCTTATATGTTTTTAAATATTCCAGATATACAGATGTTTCATGAAATTGCGTTTCAATCGAATAAGCGTGACATATATGACGTGGWCTCTACAATTCATTATTTCATACTTGATTCAGTTTTCTTTGTTATTCATAGTGTTGTACATGTACATGTATCTCGCTTATTCCCCAGCTCGTTGTGTATTCAAGTGCTTTATATCGAAGTTTCAGGGATATATCTAGATATCGCCCCCATTTGAGGGCAATATCTATATATTGCCCTTGAATACTAATGTATATTGCCCTTGAATACTTAATTAACTACTACGTTCAACTTTCAAATTTTTCAAATTTTCCGTCTGAAACTTTAAACTTGAAAGAAAGAAAGAAAAATTCAAGTGACACCAAGTAGATTTGAACCCTCAACCTTAGCTTTGAAAATCCTATACTTAACACGTTATGCTAACTGACTAATCGATGTCAGTCATGGAATAAAACAGTTATTTAACATTGTCCAGTTACTTGTTACAAAAGGTATATTGTTAGCATTGGTCTCATAGGACTAACGAGAAAATTGGTTATGCATGAAAATGTGATCACACATTTAAATCACGCGCTTTAAAACTATGAAATCTAACCACACACAATCAAATAAGAAGCTAAAGACTGGAGGCAATCAACGTAACTTCTTCTGATTCTTGTTCTGATTCTTCTTCTTCTGATTCTTGTTCTGATTCTTCTTCTGATTCTTCTTCTGATTCTTATTCTTCTTCTGATTCTTGTTCTGATTCTTCTTCTGATTCTTCTTCTGATTCTTCTTCTGATTCTTCTTCTGATTCTTCTTCTGATTCTTCTTCTGATTCTTCTTCTTCTTCTGATTCTTCTTCTTCTTCTTCTTCTCAATCTTCTATCCATCGATTTCCATGATTTACTTGAGGAGTACGTTTTGCCGGATGTCTGCACTTCCGATCTGGTGTGCTGCAGCATGACCTGCACGTGAAGCTGTTCGTGAGGAACCCTGTTTTTACAATAGATCATTAGGAATGTCAGGAGCAATCKTAATTGTGTATAGTCCGATCCCAGACCCTTTCTTTAGCCCGCTCCGTTGAGCTGTCGCGATCGGTTACGGGAAAAAGGGTGAACTTTTACGCGTATGCACTGCATCATCCAATAAGAAACGGCCAGGAATTACAGACACTATTTRTTTCACGAACTGTTAGTGTTGATCACGTTTTTTAATAACCATTAATACTTTTTGTTTGAAGGATTAAGCAATCTGCTCATTGCCATGTCCAGAATGATGCTCCCACTTCCTTTACTAAAAGGATTATACTARGCTCAAATAAATCTGCCCAAAGTATTGCGCTCTCGGCAGTAAAATGACGCAGCCGTGCAATATGTTTTTAATGCCAATTGATGGTTTTCCACCATTGACATGAAATTCGAAAGATAAAAGAACTTCGGCCATGTTGGATGAATGAACAATTGACTAATGAGAAATCCTTTGTTGAAGTTCCTCCACTAGATGACCGCTGAGACGTATAGATAAAAGGAAGAATATATTTGCACTTGGTAGCCATCTCTTTTTGAAATAATGTTAAAACACTATATCCTTTTTTGCAGTATCTTTTTTTTTGTCATAGAATTGTTATCCATTCMGCAATAAAAATGGAARTTCTTTCAAATTGCGTTACARTTGGATTAGCGTGACATMTATCACGTGACTCTGGAATTTATTATTCTCACAACAGTACAGTGAATGATAAGCAGAGCGTAGAGTGACTTGACAAAATTATGCTTCGAAARGGAACTGAATTGAAACGCTGACGTAAAAAGAAATTTGTGAAATTACGTGGCAAGACTTCGGTCGACGTCATTGTACTTCTTTTAATATCTTCGTCAAGAAAATGCTGTAATTTTTTCAATAATCTAAATCCTGAAAGGGAATTTACTCGAAAGACTTCTGCGGATTATGACGTTTTTGTCAAGATTTTGTTTTGCAAATCTTATTGTAGGTAAGTATTAATTATTTATGTGGAAAATTCAGTGGCGATTTTTTCATAGTTAACGCTAACTATATCGTGTAGAATTAAGATTAACTAATAATTAGTCTYCACACTTCTTGAAGTAAAGATATAAACTAAGATTTTTATTGATTTTCTTATAAATCATATAGCGCCAGAGTAATATATAGTAGTCTTCACACTTCTTGAAGTAAAGATATAAACTAAGATTTTTATTGATTTTCTTATAAATCATATAGCGCCAGAGTAATATATAGTCGATTCGGCGAGTCTGTCGTTTCCGTTGGCGGAAACAGATAGTCTATTTTCTAACGTTTGTAAACTTCTCTCTGCGGATGAGAAACTGGATCCACAGCTAAATACTCCATTCAGTATCCAAAGTATTATTATTCTAAGTACTAAATAAGAAACTAGAAAGTGTTGAGCTCTTTGCAGTCAAGAACAAGACTCATGAATAATAAAGCCTATCMATCTGAACGCTTATGTAGTGGTTAAAGGCTAATATATATACTTATATTCTTCGGTTAAAATTGCCGTGGAAATGATCAAATATAGCTATTAATTAATTTTGGATTTCGTTTTTCAGTGTTTTTGTCACAGTGGAAGCTCGGTTTCAGTAGAGGTAAGTTTCACACAACGAATTTGACTACGTAAAACTGAAGTGTCATGTAAGGCAAGAAAAGTTGGAGTTGGAGCTCGTTTCAATGACAACAAAGAGAAAAGTCTGTAGAAATTATCAAATTCTGCATACAGCATCAATCATCTAAATAAGAAGAAACAATGTTTGCCTAAACTTACAGCCACCGCAAATAAGCATGACCTGCATAAGTCGACGTGTTGGCTAGAACTATTCTTCGTTTTCACTATACGTCACAGCGTCCATCTTGGAGGAACTTAACAAAGTATTTCTCATTAGTATCTATTAATCATTCTCGAACATGGCCGCTGATTTTTATCTTTTGATTCTCATGGAAATGGTTGAAAACGATCAATGGTAGAGATTAAAAGTATTAGTTGTTTTTGTACATATTAGATTCGTGCCGGGCTTCGGACTGGGCTGCTGTAACTGTATTATAGGCAATATAGTATATCTTCTATTGAATGTAGCGTTTTTCTGTGCATTATTCAAAGTTCACAGATGTATGAAGAATAAGATACTGAGGAAACCTTTGAAATAAAAAGCTAATTGCATTTTCTTTTGCGGCCATTWAATTAGTACCGATTCACTTAAWCCGTGAAACGTAAATAGTACAAGTCATCAACAGTATTTTTTAGAGCTAATTCAAAGTRCTAATTGTTTCACGGATTAGGTGCGACCACTCTAGCGCATTCTTAACAATACCGAGTAAGGTTTTTATCATGATTTTATAACAGAGTTGCATATAATTGACATTGGTGTATAAGAAATGCATACAATTTTGTCTGATTATATAAAACATAATATTTACAAAATATTTTTTTTCTGTAGAAATCTATTTAAATGCTGCAAGGGGAAATGTCACATCACCGAAATACCCAAATGGATACAAAAATARTGCGGAATGGATATGGAAAATAACTGTTCCATCAGGAAATCGAATTAGACTAACGATTAAAGATGTTAATTTTGCCGAAAAGTGTAATGTTAGATGTGACTGTGACGCTGTAGAGGTCTTCGATGGGTTCTACAGCTCAAGTCGTACGCGGCCTCTTGTGGAATTTTGCTCCAGCGTTACAAACCCGCCAAGGATTTACACGTCCACTGGAAATAAAATGGAGGTGGCTTTTTTCACTGGATACAAGCAAAACGCAGGTCGAGGGCTTTGGTTTTATTATGAGACAATTTACAATGGGGGCCAAACAACCCCTGTTATTACGACGCCTCCAAACACTATTCCAATTACAGAGCTTATTACTGGTGAAGGAGAAACCTCATCAAGCTCATCAAGTAAGATACTCATATTTATTGGATTATATTTTAGATAATTGTGATTGTAGCTGTATGTATTCAATAAGGGTAGYTGTAATCGGCATAGACGAGCGTTTAATTTGTTGTACTGATATCGATCCACATGCAAAAATCAAATATATAACGTGACGAAATTACGAAAGTACAAATAGTTAAATAAAGGGCTTATTAAAGTACTAAATATAAATTAAAGACGATTAAGATACCTTCAATTTTAACATGACCTAGACAGCTTAACGACAACTGGATAATTTTACATACTTTACTAGTAATGAACTAAACGAATACCATAAACACACAGTAAAATAACAAACGAACAACGCTACTGCACTTACCCGAGAGGGATTGGAACAAGTAATCCATTTATGCCTTTTTAAGGTATAATTATTGTTCTATCTCTTCTCTCTTCTCTTACTGACCGTGCGCCATTTGTCTTTTTGTTTCAGAATTATCAACTGTTGAGAGATCTATCCTGGTCAYCGCTATAATTTCAACTGTGGTATTATCTGTTCTTGTGATATTTTGCTGCAGTATTAAAAAACGAATTTCAAGAATTATAAGAAGAAGAAGGGCGCCGGCTACCGCAAGTCGACACCCATGTCCTGATCAAACAATTGACATTCCAGAAGAACTAACTTTTGAGGAACTTCGTAATGCTCCACCAAGCTACGAGGAAGCARTTACAAGCTCACGGCTGACTCTCAATACACAGCCACCTCCCTACTCCATAGAACCTAATGAAAACAACAACTCAACGCCAGTAACTTCTTCACAACCGAATATCAATTCTACAGAAGAAGCCTATGATTCTACTGGCCTCCCTTCATATGCTGAAGCACACAGACTTTCTCAGAGCTCTATAAATGCGGTGTAGCCCAAATGCCGCTTGACACGAAAACCTTTAATTAAGCGGCTTTGCTTTCCAGCACTTCATTGCCCTATATTTCATTATGACGTCACATCAAAAYATTCTATTGTTTTAACGCTAAGGATTATAGTCCCCAGATGGGATCAGAGTAACTTGTATAAAAATGTACATGAGCATTCTTTGATACATGACATCTGTCAAACAAGATATATTGAAGTTCCGCTATCGGAGGAAATGTAAATCAGGGTCAAAATTCCCACTGGTTTATGACCGTCTCATCCCGATCTAAACATACGGTGACGTCATAATGAAATTCAACAGCTGTATGTGTACATATATGCGAGCACGAACAATAACAGTCTTGAAAAAAAATTGTCAACCCGTTCAACCGTATTCTACGTATTATAAAGAATTTTCCATATTTGTCCGTTCGCTCATTAATTCATCATCCACATTCGTTCTTTCATTCGTCTGTCCATCTGTCATATCTATTCGTTCCTGATAGACTACTTCAGGGTACATGATACGTTGTTTGATTCATTCATTCTTAAGACAATCTTTGTAGTTTCGCCCACCTCATTCCCAGGGCTTTATCCCTTCGCTAAAGGCCCTGGGAACGAGGTTGTAGTTTCGCTTCATCCTTTCTCTCCTTCATATTAATCCTACACCAATCCTTCCTTTCTACATCCATTGTCTGCTCTTTTCGGTATTCGACGTTCATTTTCATTCGTCTATCTCTAGTCATCCTTTAAGGAGAATGCAATGTGATGAGCACTTTTTTGTGGGCCACACCAAAATTGTACCATATTCAATATATATAATGCTCGTAAAACTGATTTACAATACCGTTAAAAACTAATTTGAGTATAAAGTCCACATGTATACATGGTTCACAGTTTTAAATAAAAGGACATGCATCCGATTCCAAAAGTGATAAAGTGATAGATAAAACCATCAATTAAACAAGAGACAATAGAGTGGTATTCGTCGACCATCTAAGAAAAAGATTAGTTGCATGATAAATGAGAAAAAAGAACTGCAAAGCCTTTAGCTATTTATAGGGCCTTACTATTCTTTCATGGTCGGAGGAATATAATATTCAGTCGTCTTACATCTTCGTTCCGGACGTCATGTGCAGCTTATTAGCTGCATTGTTAGTGAATCTAATAGAGAATGTTTTGCAAGGATGTAACACAGCAAGATGGGAGTTGTATTCCTTGTGCTTTTTTGTCTCCGCTAAGACACCCTCCTAACCCTAACATTTTTTGCTTGCAAAAATATAGAAGTAGCTGTGCCGTGATCGCAAAAAAAGCTTCGAAGGAAGTTTTTATGGGGCTATAGAAATTGCTTTGCTGTCCAAAATGGCGTCCCTCGCGAGCATTGAAAAAAAAAAGCAATATTGAGTTTTGATTGGGGATTCATAGTGATGAAATTGATAGAATTGATATAGGCGTTTGATGGTGTAATGTTTTGGCACATCAAAAGAAATAGCACATAGTGTGATGTCATGCATGCTTTATGTAATCTATGTTAGCGCTCTCAGAGCGTMTAKTTGGTGACGGGATCCCTGTGTGACGAGGGCAGGGTGTTCTGGGAAAYATTTCAAAATGGCCGGCGCTTGGAGGTCAAATTTAGGAAGATTTGCTAAGGAAATTCGCATTCATCTTTGTCAAACGTCTGAAAATAGCAAAGGTGTAAGGTAGGTTTAAGTATGAATTATGGTTTAGTTTAGGAATTGTCCCGATTGAGGTATTTTCATAGAGAAAAAGTGTATGATAGCTATGAACTACAGCTTTGAAATTCAGATCAACGGAGCTTATTTGATTATTAAATTACTATATAGCATATATACTTTAGAGCTATTGAAGTGCCAGAGAGTAAGGCCTATTAGCTTTAGATCTTATATATTTTCTGATTTATTTTTGTGCTTTTATAAAGAAATTTTCTAGAAAAAAACTATACTGACATCAAGAAAGCAAATCCAAAGTTTCCCATTCTTGTTAGAGAATGTAGTGGCGTCTTCCCTAAGATGTATGCACGATATGGTAAGCCAATCTTAAATTGCCTTAAAAACTGTCGTTTTTACTGTTTTTCTTATCGCACTATTTTATTATGACATTATGTAATACATCAGAAGACAATGCCCAAAAACAGTGGAAATTCGGACCGACTTATATTCTGTCCTAAAGTAGAACTTCAGTGTATCGTATTTTGATATATTCATGTATAAATGATTGTGAATGTAATGTACATTTTATTTGGTATTTAGTGACTCTGATTCAGTCACCTCTGGCGCCCATAACCCTTTGAGTTAAAAAAAAAATAAAATAAAAAAGAATGTGTTGATGTGATGCATAATGAAATAGGGCAATTTCTAATTGTGATTTTTGACATATTTGATTTGAGCCATCCTTGGTCTTCACATCCCTGTGCCATCTGGAAAGGTAATTAGGCCTTTGCATTGACAAAAGATGGCCATTAAGTTCGCATTTGTAGGTATTGATCATTGTAGGTAGGAAATACAGATTTCATCATTACATGCTAAATACCTGTCACTCTTCAATGCAAAAGCACAGCTACCTTTTAAGATTGTACAAGGAAAAAAAATAKACTGTTTGTGCTAAATGAACATATAAACGTGCTATATATATACACTGCTGTATGCTGTGGTAATATTTCTGTGGTACACTCTCTTTACCATGCTTTTTACCATGCCTGTGAACAATACATGTACATTGATTGTGTTCTTTTTTTATTCTTTAGGTTATGGTAAGGAAGTCAGTGTTGAACTATCAGATATGAAGAGTGAAGAGGTTAATCAAGTGATGGAAAAACTTGTCACCAGTCAACCAGAATAAGCTTAAAACCTTGATTTGTATTGAAATAATTTAACACAGTTACTTATGCTTGTAGTAAAGTGTACAATATTCATATCTTTATTATTTTTTGAGGTTCTTCGTATAAAAGGTGCAAATTTGCAGTGAATACAGCTTGTGGCTCATGTCGATGCATTGCAAATAAACTGAATGAGATTTCTTTTGTCTTTGTGATATCATTTTGGATCTACACAAAATTGCATGTTCCCTCGTAGAYTACTTGCTAAGTTCATTTGACCTTGAAAKAATGGAAGTAAAACAGGAGATTTTAGAGATGAATTCCAAGTACATGTGGTAGTTTGGAAATTCTTTGAYAGTCAAATAATAAAAAGCACTTTGCAGYTTGGAAAATCTTTCACAGTCAAATWAAAAGCWCTYTGGTCTAAGTGTGCAATGCCCCAGCCCCAACCTTTTTTGTCTGWATATCAAAATGTTTCATTTCACATTACTGCATTCAAGCCTTCTMTCTCACTTGAAAAAAACAACYAATCAAACACTCAAAACAWCTTCAAKGTCACCAGTGTAAATGCTTGTAGTCTTGAAGGATGTTCATTGAAGTTGGAATTGTTGTGAATGTAGATACTAAAAGCTGCAWATKGCAGTTCAACTCAGTGTTGAAGTTTGCATAAATCATTAAGTAAGCAAAACCTTAAATGAAAGATCACAATGTGTGTATTAAATGTGTGATTTGAACATAATGAGTATATATTTAGGTGCCTGAAGTATGCAGCGTTGTTTATACAGGTAGTAGAAGACCCTTTGATCATAATCTTTATTAATCAAAAGCATTTTATAGTGCATGTAGTACAATGTAGTGCAAAATTTCCAAAACACTAAGAAAAAAAGCATTTACATGATATATAAAAAACCTCTTTACCAGACCCAAAATACGTTGCTTTTGTGTTTCTCTTTGCATGGAAAATATTGCATACAGTACTTTATGGCATTTGAGTAGATATTGAAGATTGTACATATTTCAAATTTGTACATACCCTACATACAATACAGTACAAAAAAATACAACAATTTGATTGATTTTCATATTTTACATTTTATCATTATATTGTTAACTTGATTGGTTTTAATCTGAAAAATATTTTACCAATTATGAATTATATGCACTGGTAAATTAAAAGTCAATGTTTACCTATTCTTGGATGAATCCTATAAAACATATGATACATATGCGAGAAAACCATATGTTGTAATATGTTYCTTTATATATTGTCCTAGTAGCTGTAAGTAAATCACCAAATGTATGGAATTAATTTTGCTGTTTCACGTCTGTATTTCTGGTAAGCCGCAAYATCTCCCCATCTTTTCAATGCTTGCCTGTCAAGGATTGGAATACCACTAAGTTTTGTTAGTAAAAGAGCAACAAAGAACGGRGAAACTAAGCTTGAGARCTCCCARCCTTTCATTACACTTGAAGCTGGCAAACAAAGTCCAGCCCAAAGAATGATTTCACCAAGATAGTTGGGGTGGCGACACAGACTCCACAGTCCAGATGAAATCCACTTTCCYTTGTTGGACGGATCACTTCGGAATACGCTTTTTTGTCGATCAGCTTTCACTTCAAGGCTGAAGCCTAAAGCCCACACTCCCCATCCAAGGTAATCCTTCCAACTTAACTCGACATCTCGTKGCTTGGTGTTTAGAATTAGAGTGGGTGCCAGGGTGATGAAAACCCAAACCGCTTGCATGGTCCAGTAGATGAAGAAYACCTTCGGATTATCACGAACTCTGTTAAATCGYTTATCGCTGCCGTCTTGAAGAATGCGAGAGAAYAAATAAGACCCAAGTCTTAAACCCCATGTTGTGACACAGCCAGTTTGAATCATTTGACGAAGATGGAATGATTTGCTTGAGAAGAGCGTCCTCCATGCTAGAAATACGTACGTACCCGAGCCAGCCAAGTCGTAAAACTTTTCAGTTTTAAAAGCTGAGGCAAAGATCCATAAAATCCACTGTATTGCAAAGTCATACACTGCAGCTTCTAGTAGTGGATGCATTGTTGAAAGACCATTACCCATTATTTCGTGATTATGTAATAATAGCTATAATGGCAGAAGGATTCTCAAACTTTTTAAAGCAGGCGTTCCTTGAAATGAGGCGGGAAGATTTGGGAGAGAGATCTAAAAATAGAGTAGGGGAGGGGGGAGGGGAGGGACATGATTCTTTTCTATTTTCCACTGGACGACGTATTTTAGAATTTTTATTTAAAAASAATTTACACTAAAGGTTTTTAGAGTAATCTTTATAAAAAAGATTGGCAATAAAGCCGAGAAAATCTCCAAAATATCAAATTTGTACTAGCTCCCAATCTCCCTTGTTGCTATGTTTTGAGCGTGACGTCACATGCCTTCTTGCCAGCGACGAACACCAAGGAAGGACAATGATCGAGAACTGATTAAAATCCTGACTGTGAATTCCTGAATCACCTCAATAACACAGAAAATGGTAAAGCTATATTTCATACTTGCAAGACATTGTCACATTTAGTGCGAWATTAACTGTATATTTTGTTTATGATGAAGAGTTCTGAGGGTACGAGTATCAAGGTTGCAGTTCGCTGTCGACCTTTTAGTGGTGAGTTATAAAATTCGTCCTAGTTTTTRCTAGAAGTTCTATAATAATAAAGTCAGCTATAAGATCAAAAATTTTGTATTATACACCAAATATAATATGCGATTAATGCGTAACTCTAACAGCTTTTTAACTTGACTTAGCTGTGTCGCCAAATCATTGAGTTAGGTCTATTTAATTTATACAAATGTGGTTGGTTGTTATAAAAAGCTAAGGGCTCAGTCACAAATTCTACAACGTTATTTGATGTGCACAGAAAATGAAAAGGCYAAAACAGCCACTCGCGTTGTGAAGATGAGCGGAGAAAAGATTATTGTTCACAATCCTCTACCTGGCTCATCAACCAAGGTATAGCAAATACATCATAGCTGTTTTATTTTAATTCCAGTAATGATATGTAATGAGAGATGGGGAGATCAGACAAGTATGTACAGTATGCGAAAGGAGTCGGGGGAGGGGGAATTATTGTTGTATCACCTGGGGTGTAACAGAACCAATAAGTGTGTTCCTCAGGTGTCTAATACCTTTCTACATACCATGGACCGCGGAGCAGGGGGGGCTTGGGGGCTGCAGCCCCCCCAATAATTTTTCYGACATTTTGAATTTTCTTAAATAAAGAAGCGAAGAGCCTCCTTATGAACTTTCACCATATATATTCTATAAAAATTGTGTAAAACCTGAGCTTGAACAATTAAAACTGAAGCTTTTTTGCGAAGTCTATGTGATTTATTGATAATATCGGTGACCGTGTGTACAGTAAAAAATTGATAATGCCTCAAAATGCTGGAAATGATATTTCCGAGAGTTAAGATTTCAAAAATTTCCGAACCACCCTAATACCTCCTCGCCGGTAGCCCCCCCAAACAAATTCACGCTCCGCGGTCCCTGCATACACATCGTATTTTATAGATGAATGGTGCCTTATGTTGCTGGTCTGTACAAGCCTTGCAATTGCAAGTGCAAATGCAAACAAAACATGGCATAACTACAGTGTATCTAAAAATGCAAAAAAAAATACCTGTTGCTCATTTTTTTCTATTGAATTTTAATGATTAAAATGAGGAACTGTCAAGGATTGGATTACTTGGTCATCAAATTAATTGTCTTATTGATGCATTTTGGTTCACTGATTGAGTGTTGTCTTATAACTGTGTACACACAATTTGATATTGTAGCTCAATAAAARTGGATCTCTATGCTCCAAAATCAAACGTTACAACCACTGAAAAAGGACCTTTTATTGCTTGAGATAATACTTAGATGGTGTAGTGTATCGATTTAAAATGATTGATG